GAGTGCTCAGCATCTCTGAAAATCAGTGAAATAAGATTTCAGCCAGTGCCTTTGTTCTGAGAGATCTGTTAAAGTGGCTGTACTAGTATGTGCACTAGAAATCATTTTGCTGTGGGTGAAACAGAGCTACCCCTGGGATGGAAACACAGCAAAAAACCATGAGGAGGATACATTTTTTGACCCTGATAGTGAAGTAATGCCATACCTAAGATCCTTTCTTAAATGTTCTTGCATAGCAAGCTGCAAAGACCTTATTCATGGTAACAAATGACTTGCTTTCTCTTCAGTTTTATCTCCACTTCAGAGAGCCAAATGACTGTTTCAACAAGCTATTTTAACTACTCCTTTATGTCTGCTAACATAGAGGCCTAATGTAGTCATCTAACATTGATAAATGTCATAAGTCAGTAATGTGCTATGTGGCTTCCTCAGAATGTTTCGCTCTTGTTCTGACTGTCTGGATACGAGAGCGAGCATATTTAACTTTCTGGATCCTTCTGTGGATTCCAGTGTGGTCTAGCTGATGAAATAAGTATTCACTGTGCAGCAACTGGTGAAAGGTGCCTGTCAAAATGTTAAGTGTAAAGCTGCTTTGAAAAGTTAATATCGGTTGTAATTAACAGTATGGTTTTAACATGGATTTTTTTTTTTGTATTTTTCTTCTCCCTAAGATCAGATTGCAGTAGGAAAAATTGTAACCTTAGCAGAAAAGACATGGAACTCAAACTACCAAAAAATAATCCAGTGGGTATTTGTTCTAATTGCTGCTGTGAAACAAATTGAGACAACTGGAAAGAGATTACCTACAATAGCACTCGGTTTTCATAAAGTCCCATGATTTAAAGCCCCACTCTTCAATTAATTTTGCTAATAAATTAAATTACAACATCCTGCCAGCCAAATATCATCTCCAAATTGTTGAAGAGAACAATGAGTGACATGCTTGAGGACAAAACCAGAATGGCCGTCATACCTCGGGAGGAGATTTCAGGCATTTTTTTTTTTTAGAGATCACTGAAATATGCCACTCTCACACTGTGCCTCCCCCTGCTCTGTCTGACAGGCCATTTAATATCGCATAAAGTCCCTTTTGTCAGAATTATACACGATGCAGGCTCAACCTGCTGAAATGATGTTAGCAGTACTAAATCAAGCACTGTCGTGTCAGAGAAGGTATGGCGATCAGTCAGCCATCCCCACACTGACCCTGAAATCAGGCTTCAGGAGGTAGATGTAAGGCGTGGCTTACAAAAATGTTGTGTGTTTGTCCTGAAGGCTGTCAGAAATCCCCAGTATCCTCGTAGAAGTTGCTTGTGTCAATCAGCTGCTGCTCTGGTGACAATACCTTTTCTGACAGAATGACAGGTACGTGAGCGTGTTGACCCACACGGATTCCCGGGGGCCATCGGGCAGGATCTGGAAGCTGTTTTGTGGGATCTGAGTGCTCCTCACTGCTCTGTGCTATTTGTACTAGAGACAGACACCACACATTTCCTACGCTATTTCTTGTATTTAATCATTAACCTGTGTTGGCGATGATTAGGATTGTGACAACTATAAAATATAATTTTAACTGGATTAGAATATGCCTAAGGGCAGAATCAAACTTTCAGAGGCTGACAGGAAAAGAAGTCGAAGTGCTGACAAGCTACTGTAATGTGTAGTAAACAAGAATAAAAAAAAGTATGTGATTTAAACAATGTACTGATTAATACAATATAGATACTGAAAGCCCTGGGAAACTGAGGCAGGGCTTTGTTTCCTTCACAGTTTAGAAACAGCCAGAACATACTGTCCTTGAACTAGATAACAGCACCTCTTTGCCTAGGTAGGGCGGAAGACCCCCTCCATTGGAATTGCTAGCTGGGCTTTACCAACTTTGTCAAAGAAAGCCTTCCAAAGCTGGCCGAGATAGCACGAAGTCAAAAAAAAAAAAAAATTAAATGTTTATTTGTTGTTAGTTCGTCAGTCTCTTGAGTCAGCAGGTCAAATTAAACTAAGTCAGTTCTTTGCATTTGACGTACTGGGACAGATAATTTTAAGATCGTTTGGACTGATTCTGTGGTGAGCCCTACAAATGAAGACCATTCTGCTAATTTAGTCTAATTTATCATATGAGCGCTAGACTAAAGTAAATTGCTGTACTTAATACCTGTAGGTGAGCACAATATTTGCTTTGTAGAAACACATTTGAAAAACTTCTGAAATGCTAGATTACTTTAGGTGTGAAGGAATTATTGTGTGCAGTATGCCGAACCACTTCGTGAAAAATGATTTGTTTGAAAAGTGTAGGTGTGGTACAGCCTAATGTGTTTCATACTTTATTGAGAACTTTCTGGTTTGGTCTAAGGGGAGGTGATTGGTTCTATCCACTTTCAAGTAACTTATTTACATCCTCAGGCCTAGATCATATCGTATCATATGGTGGGTCTGAGGGTTAGTTCTGGTCAGAGCTATATTTGGGTTTTGAGGGTAAAAAAAGTCATCCCACTATTAAGAGATTTTTTTTTCCCCTGTTTTTAAACCATTTCTATACTTCTAGAATGGTAAAATTGATGACTTTATTAACCACTCTTTACCTGAGTACAGTGAAGGAATATCTTCTTCCAGAAAAGATCATTGAGGTATTGGCGTGTCAGACAGTTCTGTCTTCACTTTTACTTTAAAGAAAAAAGGAGAAATTCTGGAACATGTCTTTGACTGTGTTTTGAGTAAAGACAAAAAGAGGAAATGGAAGCGGAGGGGGGGAGATTGGAGGAGGTGTTCAGAGAAGGCAATGCGTGTAAATGAGAGACTAAATGAATGTGAGTAAGAGAAATTGCTTCTGGGTTTTAATAGGAGAGAGAGAGCTTATTCATTTTGTCTCCTTCAGTGAGTTTGTCGGAGTCTGCCCTGGAAGAGGTCAGGGCTGTGCCGGGACGGCCACCCTCACGGTCCAGCAAACACTCTGCTGGTGGTTGCTCGCAAAGCAGTGACACATTCCTTTTGAGCTCTTTAGGCTGCCTGTTCCCAGCTTGAACACTGAAATTGTGTAAGGAGGAACCGATGGCTGCAGAATTAGTAAAAGAGGTTCATGTGGAACGTACCACAGTTCCTGGGCAGGATCCTGTAATCCTAGATGGGGTGGCATTATAGTGTGCTTTCACACTGGTTGCCCTTTTGTGTTCCAGGGGACTATTTGGAGAAGCAAATGCTGTTTGGCATGAGTCTGGCCCTGCATAATTTACATTACTGTTATTGTATTTTATAGCATGCAGAATAGAGACTCGGTTCTGAACAGAGTATATGGAAACGTGGCTGCCATTTGTCAGTCCGGATTTAATTAGTTGCATTAGCTGTAGCAGTGAAGATTGAGCAAGCAAAATGTGCCCTACACACAGGCAGAAACATCAAGAAACAGTTGCTTTTAATGGAGAGTGGCTCGATTTATGATCAGGTTTCATACTTCTTATTTTCTGACAGTGCCAGTCTGGACTCTTATCGATTCAGACAAATATGGGGGGGAAAATTCCCAGAGATGGAACTCGTACAGCTGTAGCTTACTGTCTGATGCTGCTGCTGTATCCAGCTGTTGTATTAGTATTTATTCTAGTGCAACAGTGCAGAAATAAAAAATGAAAAAAGGAAAGAAAAAAGCAACAGAACCAGAATGCCTCGCAGTAGTTAGCTCAACGAAACCTAGTGCAGTCAACTATTTAAACACCAGCTTAAATCTCAGCACATTCAAAATTAGGCAAATCACTTATACTTGTGCTGTAGAGTTTTGCTGATCTGGGCCAAAGGACTGGGAAAAGGGAGGTGTTGGTTTTGTTTTGTTTTGGTTTTTTTTTTTTCAGTACTGGAAGAATTATGAGCTTGATGGAGCTGGAATTTCTTTAGTTTATATACCTCAGCAAAAGAGGTGTCAAAGAGCCCTGCATTACAACAGTAGCCTCTTACAGCACTGGTGTGTGCATATAAATGACTGCGACATGTGCGAGAGCTGCAGACTCAGAACACGTTGCCTCAGTCTCTGACAGCAGGTATTTTCCTGGCAGTGCGAAAGGGCCAAATTCAAACCTGAGAGAGATGGTTGCAACTTCTTTGAAATCAAATTACATAGCCTTGATCTGAACTTGAGCTTAAACCAATTTGTATTTCCAGTTGAAATATATTGGAGAAACCAGAGGGATTTTGTTTTTCCCTTTTTGCATGAAATGTTTTTGATGACAAAGTTTGTTTCTGGTGGTAAAACACATGACAATATTAAAATGAATGCAACTAATCATGATTGAACAGGCATGGTATAAACCTGCCTACAGTCTCTGAGAAATAAAACTTAGCTGGTGTGCCGCAGGTACTTCTCAAGCAGGAGGGGCTGCTTTTCTAAATAGGCTGTATTTATTATGGGTGGCTGGGTATCTGCATTCTGGCTCAGTTCCCTGTAGTAAAGAACTGACCACATTACTATTTGCAAACACAGGGTTCACTCAAGTGATACTAAAAAGAGAAGAGGTGGGGCAAGCGGAGCTTTAAAAAGAAAAGAGGAGTCCGTCCAAGTTTGTATGTAAAAAGCAACTGCGTTTTGGAGAAGGACGGTACCTGGAGATCTCACTCCCTGTATTCCACTGAGGGCTGTGGTGAACAGTTTCCCAAATTCAATGCTTTTAAGATTAAGATTTAAGTCGCAGCTTTGCTTGTTGCACAGAAATTTGCAGTGATCCTTGCGAGCATTGCTTTTAAGCTGTGTTAAATTTGTGGCAAGAGTGTCAGGCATTTCTTACTTGGCTTCCAAAAAAGAAAAAAAAAAAAAAAACAAGAAAAAAAGAAACGAGAGAGAGAGAAAAAACCCGACGTGTGTGGGGAAGAAATCTCCCAGGAATTTCTTCAAGGTTGTAGTCAGCCACAGTAAGGGCTAAAGTGACAAGAAAAGCAAGGCAAAAGACAAACTTAGTATTGTGATAAGATGTCTGAGTGTAAAGTGGGAGATTGCAGAAACCTTTTGGGATTACACATGCTCATCTTGTCCTCGATATGACTGAATACAAGCTAGTTTTTCTCTAGTGACAGTTCAAAAAACCCTCAGGATTATGTTTCTCTTCTTTATTGCTTTTTTGCCAGTGGTTTTTAAAATTGGTTTTGTCAGCCTCTCAGCTCTGCAGCACTGGAACTGTCCTAATGGATACAGATTAAAGACTGAAAACTCTGCTTGTGTAGGTAAGTTGCAGACCATTCACAGATTAAGAAAACTGCATATGTATTCTCTTATTTGACCTTTATAATTTTCAAAGTTCTTTTTACAGATTGCTTGTGTGTTGCACTGGCAGAATTGCTAAATCAGCTTTTCGATATCTTTGGCTTCTTGTAATGAACAGAACACATTTTATTTAGTTTGTTTTTCAGAAATCAGTCACTTGTCTGTCAGTTTAACTCTCAGAAAGCAGGATAAACTTTTATATGATCATGAAGAGATCTGAACTGTTCCCTAGTTACCAAAATTCCTTGCCATAGCTTTAGTATCTCTGTATTTTAATACATGTGCATGCACATATTCATGCTTCTATATACATAAAATTTGTGTATAGGTGTATTTTTTTATTTTTATATGCATATAAAAAGAGTATTTTAATGATTATGTGTTAGTACATGCTTAGATGTGGGCTAGATAACTTTAAAAATTACTCTTTCTATGTTTATTAGTGCATGTAGATATATGTGCTCATATTTAATAATACATTTCATATAATACATGAATCGCAGGTGTGTTTGATACTGTAGTGCTAAAGTCTGGGTGAAATGCGTGACACTAATATTAGTATAATCACCTCCAGTGGTTTGGAACACGTAAAATGCAGGTTCCTATTCTTTACAAAGTGTAAGACAAAGAATGACAGAACCCTTCTCCCTGCCCTGCTACCTTGAAATCCAATTTGTTTTAGAAAGCCAGAGCCAATGAACGTGTGGGCTTTGCAGTAAGGAGATGAGGAGACGCTCTGTAAGGATTCAAGCAAACAGACCTAAATACTTGGAGTTAATGCTTTTGCCGTAGATTGTTTGGGCTTCAGAGGCTCTGACTCAGTTCTTGACATTATTCCAGTGATTTAATAACAGGTGCCTCCTCTGTGCATTCTGCCAAGAAACACCATCTTGTACGCAGAAAATAGATCTATGCATATTAAATGCTCTTGTATAGAGAGAAGAGGAGCTAGGCATTTTTTGTGTACAAATGATAATCCTGACTGAAGGTTTATCTGAGAGCCAGACACACCTAGGGTGCTTCCACACTGATGCTTGAATTCAAATGAGAAGCATACTTCTGAAATGAATCTCCATGCGGCCACCTCTAACTATGCTTGTCTTCACATTGCGGAGCGCTCTCAAAGTACACAAACTGAATTCCCTTTAGGCCAACCTAAACCAGAAACTGTTCCCGTAGGAGAGCATCTATCTTCTCCGCTGTTGATGGCTATTTAGTCCATGGCACCAGGCTAGACCTAGTTCTCTGTAACATCAACCTGAAATATATGCAGTGTGTACATCATACCCTCAGCAACTCTTGCACTTTTAGCAGCCTCTCCTACAGGTCCACACTGTTTGCTAATATATACCTGGCTTCCACAAACTAATTAGGATGTACTACACTTATGACTTCTACTTTACTCGGTTGCCCGATTAAGAACTCAGATAGAAGAGAAGAATCCTACTGACATGAAGGGAATTGCTTGGCTATTGTTTAATGAGTCAAAAAGCACTCTAAATATTGACATTCAAAAGGCTGAAAAGATGTATCTTTTATTTCACTTGACATATTATGCATATTGATGTACATTGCTCTTCCATTAATGAAGACATAACCTGCCCTGCATTATGTCTTTTCAGTTGAAAATAAAATACATTCAGCTGCTGTATGAATAGGAGGGACTCTAGGTAAAGCACCAAAATGGAGTGGCTGGTAGCCTGGCAAACTCTGCAAGAAATAGTAATAGAAGAAGTCTTTTGCATAAGGGTTAACTTTAGTGTGGCATACTCTGAGCAATTCCATGTAACATAGAATAAATAAAAAAATGAGAAGTGCTAGAGTATCTTTTTAATTAGAGATCACTGGATTACAGGGGATTAAGCAAAGGTGAAATTTTGACATGAAATATAAGACTGAAGGATGTTTTGGTGGAATGGATCTCCCCTGTTCTTTCCTCTGTGAGCTGAGCAGAAGACCGGATGTACGATATTCTAGTTCGTTAATTATGTGAGATAGAGGGTGCAGTGGAAGCAAGTGGTAGGAAGCTGGAGGCAGGCTTTGAAGGTAATAGTGGGGATAAAAGTGGTGAGTGGGAGACATGACTCATACCACCGAACTGTGAACAATGACAGCAAGCTGAACTGTGCCTTGGCGACCATCCTTGGTGAGCTGTAGTAAATACACCAATTGTAAAATGTTCTTTATCGTCTGTGACCGTGGTGGCATCCTGCCAGCCATAAGGACTACCCTGAATTGAGAAGGTGTCTGCTCTCTGTTAGTGAGCTGTTACAAACAACACTTACTGGAAAGTGTGTAGGCTTTTCTACATTTGTTTTCCATACTGCCACTGCAGATGAAGGTCTAGGTCGTACTCTTCTTACATTGCTAAATAGCTCACTTCTTAATTAGTTCCTTTTATTTCTAGGGATATTCAAAGATCAAAGACCTTCTCATCCTGTGGAAGGATAATGAAATCTAACCCTAAATGTCTCGCATAATTTTATACAGTTATTTTAAGAGAGATTATTTGAATCCTGAGTTGGTATGCCAAGAGAGGAGAGGCCTTTCAGAGGGGCTGTCTGTCCCACAACAGCAAGGTTTATAAAGGAGAAAGTGTGGGAGAACAGATCGCGAGGTCAGAACAAGACTAGTCTGGTGAACGAACATATCAGTTTCTTGGCAAGTTATGGTAGAAGTGGAAGCATTTCTGCAATTTTTGACATTGCCATCTTGATTTAGTCATTTATTTTAAGCTGGTGTCAGGACTGGGGACTCAGTTACCTTTAAATAACTCATATCTTGGACCCCAGTGGAAACATAGAATCTTCTACCTCTAAAGGCAAGGGGTCTGGGCTACACAGGAATTGTTATTCCTACATGGTAAAAACATGTACGTACTTGGTCCTGGGAGAGCTTTGATTTCTAACATATTTGACCATGTAAGCTTACATGGCACACCAGGGGATGGGCCTTATGCCTGTTGGAATCAGTTGCCTGTGCCATCCTGAAGTACCGCTTTAACAACACTATTTTTTATTCTCTCATAGTGTATAGATGCTTTCCCCACTCAAGACCAAGAGATTTCCCACATGGCACTGATTATCTGAAGAAGCCCCTAGAGCAGCCCCTTGCATTATCAGTTTTAGACTAGTTACTAGTACCTGTTCGTCTTGGGCTACCCTAAGTAAATATAGTATGTTCTGGATACTGCAAGACTGGAGGCGTACTTTGGCTTCAAGGCTGACTTTGAATACTCACCTTGTAAGTTTTGAAAGTGAAGGAAGATAGGTCTTTAAAAAAACCCCAAACAATATTGTGAAAAAGTTTTTGAAGAAGGCAAAACACAACCCATGTTATTGAAGTTTTACCTAATCATAGCTTCTTAAATTCTGCACATCTCTACTAACTTCTGACATTAACTGATCAGACCTTGTCACTTCTTCAGGGCTAATGTGCTGCACATTCCTACAGAGCTACAGCCTGCAATTGAAGGTGACAACTGCAGCTATCTAGGTCAACTCTTTTGGTCAGATGCTTCTTTCTGTGTCTCAAGCTTTCCTCCTTTCTTACTGTTCACCACTCTCCTGCCATGGAGCACTGGTGATGTGGAATATTAAGTTATTTCTCTTTGTATTATATCTTTAAATTCACCTTAATTAGCTAAATCCTGGCTTCGCTTTGCTCCATGCAGCCTTCTGAAGCACACTGTTGAAACTTCTTATGCTGTATTCTGAGAAACATGAAATGCCAAAATCTTACTAATTCACAGCTATCCTTTCTTTACAAGCATCGCATAAGGAGCAGTAAGAGCCAATGAAACGGGGAATTGTATTGTCTACCCCTGTCATGGCATAAGGATAAACCTGTTGAGACCCCACTGTATCCCTCTGTATTTCAGAAGAGCTGCAGTCGAGGCATGCTTGTTTCCTTGTTTTCAGATGCTCTCTTCCAGCTAGCTCACTTCATATTATACTGCCTTGGGGAAAGATGCTTGAAAATATTGTTACCAAATAGTAGTCAAGAATTCTTGAACATGGGTCTGAACCCACAGACCAATTCATGAGAAGATTCCCATTGAATTCTCTGGAAATTGGATCCAGCTGAATGTGGACAAATACTATCTTTAGCTGTAAAAACTTAGATCAAAATAGGAAGGAGGCGAAGATGTTACAAGAAATGACAGAAATGGTGTCCCACATCACATGAAACTTATTCCTGAAGAGGGCTTAAGAGGAGACTCCAGGACCAATGACTAATACTGCAAGACTCATTGTTTTGCTCAGTGGAAAATAGCAGATATTAATTTTGTGTTCTGTTTTAAACAAAGCCGACTACTTTCTAGTATCTAATTTGAAACCTGATTTTAAAGGGAGCTGGATGACAGTATTTGCTGATGGCTTTCAAAGAAGACCAGATCATAGCCTCATGAACTTCATGTTTGAAAGGCAAGCCAATAACAGTATGTTGAAAGTTGCATGATCCAGGAAGTAGATGTCCATTTTGTAGTTACTAATTTACACATAGAATTTATTTCAAAAAGAAAACCAAAATATGTATTTTTTCCCATTCTAGTGCCCAAACCCTTGAGATCTGAGCCCAGAAAGGCAGAAAATTAAAGATTGTGGTCCCTTGAGATTTTTTTTTGCCTTTTCTCTTCAAGATATCTACAAGTGATTTCTGAATTTTATTTCAATTCTAAATTTGATTCTACTTTATATTTGATTAAATCATATGATTGCTTTTGCTGTCATATTTGTGATATGATCACCTCTGTGGCTCTGGACTGGAAGAATCCAGGAGTTGATAACCACCTTATTGTATTCACACTGTATTTCTTACCATAGTATTTGAGCACTTCACAGCCTCTGTCCTCTCAAAGATTGTGAGTGACCACGTGGTACTCTAAACCTAATGTAAAATTAAAGAAAGAAGATACTGAACTATGCCTCATCTATTTTATTGTGGCCTGCTGATAGATGGAGCATCTTTTTCCATTTCTGGGTATCTTCTGTTCTTTGAGCTGTATGCTTTTAACAAAATAGATAAAAGGGATGGGCAGCTTGCTTTGTAACCCAGATGAAATTTCATGTTCAGCCTTGTTGAAAAGATTGTGGTGGCTAGATGTAGCAGATTGAATTAATCCACAGTCCAACTCCACAGGAACCAAATTTGAGTGAGGTTATTTGAGTGTGTGTATCTGCACAAGTGTGTTTTATGTATATAATGTAAGTATTTGGGGCCGTAATGAAACGCAAGTTCTGGCTCACTGTGGTTTCTCTGTATCCCTGCCAGGCATACTAATGCTTCACCTTCTGCAATCAGAGCGTTTCTCAGGACTCTCAATAAAGTAGCATATTTGTATGCAAAGTCATTGAGAGCTGCCAACATCATGATGACATGATTCATCGTTTTTGCTGATTCTGAAGGCATTTTTTGCATAAAGAAGCCTTTGAGAACTGAGCAGGACCTCATTCTTCCTTTCAGGGCTGGCTGTCAGGGCACTGCAGACAGCTTTTGTGTTCACTAAGCCGATTTCTTTCACGGGGTAAAGTTCCCACTGGGGGATGTGGTTGCCAGGACACGTAAAACAGCTACTGCAGGATGCAAGTCCGTGCTTTGCTTTGGTACTAAGAGTGCAGGTGAAGGCACTGTTAGTTACACCTGATGGATGGTTTTATGATCAAGTTCTCCTAAACCTTAAGAAACAGCCTTTTTTTTCTTTTTTTTTTCTTTTTTTGCCCTTTTTTTTTTTTTTTTTAATACTTTAAGCAAAGGAAAAGGCCTGTTAAACATAGGACCCTCTTCCATTGTTAGCACCATAAAAGCAGAATGTGGACAGTGCTGCGGCATGTTTTACAATGGTGGTGTGTCTGTTGGTGCTTCCTGCTTACCACTGGAAGGGGAATTCTCCGGTGGCCGAGCCGCCTGTCGCTGCTGCACCCTGTGTCCTTTATTGGGCTGTTACTCTTCCACTATTGCCTTTCTTCAGCTGGAGCGATCGCTCGCTTTTCAGTATGTGTGGGATTTGCTTTATTATGTGAACTTTGGTGGTGATGAAAACGGGCAGATTGATAACCCTGAAATCCTCTCTTCAAGCACAATTACTGGAGAGGCAGTGTGAATTCTTGTAGCCTGATCAATCAGCGTGCTCTTTCTTGGAGAGTCAGTTTTGTATGCTCCTATAAAGCTGGAAAATCTATCCTGTAAATAACAGGTCATTGTCCAGTTACCTTGGTACATAGCTCAGTAATCTCTGCTTGGTTAAAAAGTGCCTTCCCAGTCTGATCTTGACTTGAGAATATCCACTGATGTTTTTCACACCTTCACGGTTTTTCTTGGTAGCTAGTTCCCTTAGTGAATCACACTTCCTGTTAAAATGTGAATTTAACATCTAAATTTAATTTCCCCGGCTTCAGTTCTCAGCCATCAGCCCTTGTTAAATCTTTCCTGCAAAAGGGTATAGTGTCCTTTAGAAAATCTGGTACTTTTTCTTTGTGAAGGTATTTATATACTGTGAGCAAGACTTCTCCCAAGCATCTTTCTGATAATCTAAGCAGACTGAGCTCTTTAAATCTCACACAGAAGAACAATTTTCCTTACCCTCAAATCAGACTTTTTATCCTTACTGTATATACTTTCTAATTTTTCAGGATCCTTTAACAACCTATATCTGAGAAATATAAACAGCATGCCAATACGGTCTGACCACTGCCATATACAGAAGTAAAATTGTTTCCCCACTGTCATTCATTTCTCCTTCTCCTGTGTTTGTACGTGTTGTGATTTGAATTTTCCTGCCCAGTAACATACTAAGAGGTCAGCTTTGTGTCCAGTATGAACACAAAACCTTTTCAGAGCAAGCAGTCTTCCAGATACAGTCTGTAGGTCAGGCCTATCTTTCTTACTCTTCTTTAATGTACTCTTTATTGTGATTGAATAATAGTTCTTTCATCAGTGTTTCAGATTGCTTAGTGAAATGATCTCTGTCTTTAGCAGTTACATCTACACAGTTGTCTTTATCACCCAAACTTGTGATTTCCTTGGAGAAATAACACTGGATTTATTTAACAAGCCACTGTTGTCATAAAAGTATATTGACTAACATAAACTATGTTATAGCCTTTATCAACAGAGTCTTACACCTGCTTTTATACTGGTGACTAGATGAGATTAACTGCCCGGCTTAGCCAGTTACTCCAATTGAAAACCAGTGCATCGGGGAGAGATACAAGCAGTGTTCATGCCTGCAGACTCCGTCACCTCTCTGCTAACACTGACAGCAGCTGTGACAACGAGCTGAGGTCACCAAAGCCCTCCTGTATGGGCTATCAAAGAGCCCTTTAGTTTTAATGACATGCAGGCAATGTTAGCCAGGAGTAGCTAGTTTTAAACTGGCAACCTGGAGCTCACGGTTTCTGTAGCCCATTAACAAACTTCTAAGCCAGACAAATGTTTCTAGAGGGGATTTGGAGGAGTTACTCCTTTAATGCTGTGGAGAATGGCATGTACATCCCTTGTACGTGTGGGAAAATACGCTCCTGAAAGCTGATTGTTTGAAGAAGATTGTGGGTTAGAATTAGAGTGCTTTATGGAATTAAGTTGCTGAAAATGCTTCTGCTTTACCTCTGTAATCTCTTCAACAGAAATCAGTTGCATGTGCTCTGATTATGTTTCATACATTGTCAAATTAGTTCATCTGCTGTGTGGAACATAATGTTGTGAGAAAACTCTGAAAATAATATGGAAACATTCCCTAGTCTGTACGGACATGTTAGGTGGCTGTAAAGGGTTGACATTCTTGTTGAACAACTCTGATACCTGACACAGAAGAAACCCCTTAACGCTTCTGCTGCACGTAGTTTTTTAAAGCAGTTAAAGGAGAGAGGTTCCCAGACCTACGGGACAGCAGAGATCTGGTTGCTTAGCTCTCCCGAGGTTACTGAGAGAGAAAGTTTCTTTCAAGTGCTAGTGTGAGTTGGTTGAATTGCAGTTCCTTGTAGTTGTCGTGAGGTGCCATTTCTGCCCTTCTTTGAACTAGGAGAATCCTCACCTAACAATCACAGACCTCCTGAAACACTGTGGTAATTTGCACTTGAGTCAAATAGTCATCTAAGTAAGTTATCCAAGGAGGAGCTCTTCTTCCGTTGCCCTGAATTCTTGATCAGGAATACAGGAAAAAAATTAAAATTGTTGTGAGCTATACTTGGAATAGCTCAATACATATACATAGTCTGGGTTATGAATCAATGTCCTTTTGTGTCTCTTTAAAATAATTTTCATTGTTTCCTTTTTTCCTGCATGTGCAAAGTCAGATGATAAAACCCAGAACAAAAGCTACTGACATCAAATAGATCTTGGGCAGGGAAAACGTTGCTCCTTAGAGAAACCCTCACAGCGGTTATACAGGAAATGTTCCAGGATAATGAACGTATTGCCAGATGTCAAGCACCTCGGGAAGTTACTGTGAGATGCATTTGTTTTCAGTAGGAACTGAAGTTTATCTAAATTTTCTGTGACAATTATCCATGGTACTGCCAAGGAGGTTAATTTCTTTCCCTCTTAGTGTAAAATATGCTCCTCAGTGGTGACCTTTTTTTGAAAAATAAAGTCCTTAATTTAGGACCTGATTAATAGTTACTGCCTCAAGCCCTGATAAAACACCATAAATACATCAAAAGTCTTTTAATTCCTAAAGTCTCTAGCCTAATCTATCAATTAAAAGCCCAGTTTCTATTTGGTTTACTTGTTGCCTTGCTTTGGGCTTGTTGCTGTCAGAATATAGTGGGGATTTTAGTGTTTTGTATGTGTCTTTGAGCTTTGACTCAAACCAAAATGAGCTCAATGTGGAACTCAGTTGTCGTAGTTTAACCCAGGACATCAGTGCTGTGGCAGTCTGTTTACTGCTTTGCTGTTTTGCAAAGTTTGTTAATTTGTTGGCAGAATTATTACTGTGGAAAGAGATAAAGATAGAAGGACAGAGAAAGAGCTGCAGGCAGCATGTGCGTAGCAAATGATAACACAAAGCACAGAAATGGAGTAGGAAACAAGTCTGTTCTCTGTGTTTGGGCAATCAGAGACCAGAGTGCCCAGATACTAGGGAGAATGGTAATTACCCTGGACAGCCTTCTAAAAAAAATAAAATCGCTGTGCATATGGCAATGGACAAAACAATAATTCTGAAACCAATGCAGGAAGCAACACAGCCATCCTCATCTCCTTTTTTGATGCTGGGATATTAAATTTTGTAACCTATTTATTATGAGATAACTATGTAAAGGGTATTCTTTCTCTTTGCTTTTTTGCTGCTTTTGCTAGCTGAATTTTCCTAATCTGTTCAAAAACATGTTTCAGATATTGATGAATGCCTTGAAGGCGGTTTGGGAACCTGTGGCCAAACCTGTATCAATGTTCCAGGGTCCTACATCTGCTCCTGTTTGCCTGGCTACACTTTGGGTATTGACAAGCGGTCTTGCTATGTGAAGGGTAAGGTAATTTTCTTTTTTGATGACTAAAAAAGAGCTTTAGAGATTTAGTTAGCATTATTTTTCAAAGTGAGCCATGCCAGGTTAGTCCCTACTGGACAGAGACCAGGGTGCTCTAGTTCGCTGATGGGAAAACTGCCTCTTCTACTGTGCAAGTAAGTGGCAAGGCCAAAAGCGGGTGCCACAGAAGAGTGATGGTGAAGAATGGGACGTATGGTTGTGGGAAGATGAATGAACATACGAAAACAAACAAATAAAACTAAACAATGACTTCCTGTTTAGTAGACATACACTCTCTGGGTGCTCGGAAGTGTAAACTGTCTTATCCCATCCTTACTACTTGCAGGAAAACATGGCAGTACACAAGATTTTCCTACCTTTGCCTCTTTCAGTCTGTCGGCGTTGATGGCTTTCCAGTATGTTTAAGTTCTAGGGACAGTACTGTGAAATTGTAAGCAGGAAGCCCTTGTTTTCAGTTTGGTCCGCTGGCAGTTTCTTAATAAACATGAGTGCTACTGTAAGTTCTTTCCCTCTCTTGCTCTGTCCTGAGTGTATAAATTCATTTTTGAAAGTGTAAGATGCATTTAAATTTTAAAAGCTTTTAGCCCATCTAAGAGGAAAATGTCCACAGTTACAGCCTTTGAATAACCTTCATTTTGTCCTCAACTGATGCTACCCAGGGAAAAAGATCTAGTTGGATTTTATTGATTGGTTTAACTGTATATCACATCTAGAGTATGAGATGGGAATGCTGTGAAGTTCACCTCTCACCTCTTTGCCTTGGTTTCCTGAATGTCTGGTTTTCGTTCCTGTCTGGGATATGCTACAGCTCCCTTCTGATCCAGGAGCTCACATTTTCTTTTTCTGACTAACGTTACTTTGGACTCTCGCTAGTGCAGAGGTGGGACGTGACAGGGCATGTTTCTGACCCAAGAAGTAGGAGATGTACTTGAGTCCCTGCGCATGTAGCCTTGGGACCATGAACATGACCAACACTGTTCTGTGTAGCTCCCAAATTGGCTCCAACATGATTACTTCAGTCAGCTCCTAGAATCATCATTATTGGCAGCAACACGTGACTCGCAAAGACCCAAGCTGGAATTTTTTTGTAGTCCTGCCTAAACATCTCTAGCCCCTTAAATAGAATTTTTTTTTTTTTAACCAAATGTTTTGTAAACTCTTCACTTCTGAACTGAAGAGAAGTGAAAACAAACATGTTACCTCACAGTGATATTTGTGTACAGGTATCTTTCAAAGAAAAATCCTACCTTAATATTGGAGGACTTCAACTTTTTTTCACATTATTACTAGTATTTTTAGCACCAGTACAAAGTGACTGATGGTTCAGGAGCTACTGTGACTGATAAGGAACCCTTATGCTAGGTATAAACCCTTCTGTAGGGGGTACATCAAGTGAAATACCCTCATGTTTTAAAGACAGGAAGCTCTTTGATGCAGGTGGTGTTTACCTGTTCATTAAACCTCTGAAAAAATTAAGTCCCAAATCTGATTGGTGCCTCTGCGATCAAAATTAGATTTGTTCGGTCCCTGTTCCATTGACAGCCCTCGTTCACAGGTGCCTGATAGGAAATTCAGAGAGTGGAAAGGACAAAAGCAAAGTATATAAAAGGCTCTTGGTCAACTAATTGGCAAAAATGCAGGCAGTACAGCTGTCAAATTCCTGAGATAAATCAACCTTGCTACACTTCACCTTTCATTTACCATTTACGTAAAGCAAGTCTTCATAGTTTAAATATTCTCACATGGGGTTTCTCAGTGCAAATAGCAGCAGAAAAAGGGAGTCACTAAAATCCTAGAAGCAGCTGTTGTAACTGGGTGATAGCTTGAAATCTTCAGATGTAAAACAGTCTGTTAGTACAGAAACAGAGTGCTGATCATCTTCCTTGTGAACAGAAGAAAATTACATCTTGGGTGCTTGTCAGAACTTCCTTCGCTTGGAAAAATCAAAATTGGTCTCCTTCCTCTGCTGTGAAAGGGGTTGAATCAAATAACCTTGCAACCATGATGAAGGTGGAGCACCTGGCTAAAATTTGTAGAAGTGATGTCTGTTGAGTTTAAAGCCTCAGGTTTCATGCTAATACTAAAGATATTTAGTTAAAAGGTTGCAAAATTGGTCCATAAAACCAGTTTAATTCTCAAAAGCATATGTGCAAGAAAAACGATGATAGTGCATGTTTGATGATGTCCATCCCTGATTAATCAAGAGTCATTTCTGCATTGCGGGAAGATCAATTCAACAAGTGAATTAGGCAGGCTTGAAAGCTGTCATTCTGTTCTATCTGTATCAATAATTGCATTTCAAAATCACTTGGTTAGAGAATTACTTGTGTGCCATGATCTGTTGTTTCAGGCAACCATGTTGTAAATCCCCACCATTGCCACCACAAGGGGCTTTCTTCTTTGAATGTTGTTTTAGTGGTAAATAACAACTAGGCTGTATGCCCCCAATTTTTTTTTAATTAGAAAAAAAAAGTTTCTTTTTAAAATGAAAGCTAAAATGTGACTGGTTACATGAAAACTCCTTTCCTCTGCTATACACTTGATAGACATCCATAATATTCAAATTGCCTAGATGAAAACTGTTCTGGTTTGGAAATGCTGTTAAGGTTCCTTGGGCAATCTTAACCCTGCCCTGTGGTGATACCCTAAAAATAACAAAGATGGCTTGATAAAACTGGGGTGGTGTAATCTGCAGCCCCAACCATTATGTCCTACTAATTGTACTTCCATACTTACCACCTGGTTTTAAGGTGGCATTAAGGCCATTTGAACCATCCTGGTTGCTCATCACTTTCAACCTTAATTGGATTTCTTAGGGTTTGGGGCATAATTGGAATGCCTTTCATTTTAACATATTTTATGTTAAGTTACTGATACACTCTTACCCTTTACTCAGTATGAATACTGTTTTTATCTGGAAGGAGTTGTAGGAATTTTAAGTACAGATCTTTTGGTTTCCTTTAGCCCTCTGCATCACAAGAAACCTCCACAGTCTCTAGCTTCTTCCTTTGCCCTGTCTTGGGATCTTCAGTTTCCTTGTTTGGATAGTTAAAGTGAGACTCCAGAGCACCTCTCTGTGATAAATTCTTGCTATAGCACAATAGTTGGAAGTGGTCTTCAACTTGGAGACACATCTATGGCATAATTCTTCCAGCCTCTGTTGGCATGCATGCAATGGTTCTTCTGACCTCCGACTAGGCTATAGGGTTTGAGATTAGTGGTAACAACCCCTGCAATCTCAGTTTCATGACTCAGATTTTTGACCTAACCTTCAGCATTAAATGTGAAAGGACCATTACATTTCTATCTTACTGGTTCTCTGTCATATGCCTAGAAAGTTATCACTAAAATATGAGAGAGATGGTTGGATTCTGAACTTTCTCTTTGGCTAGTGTAATGCTGATGAGAACTTAACGCAGCAAAAATGCAATGCGTATCTATTGATTGATCTCTTTTTGTTTTCTCCACACCAGACCCTGCGCCATTCCTACTTTTTAGCCATGGAAATGCCATCTTTAGAATTGACACTGAAGGGACCAATCATGAAAGATTGGTGGCTGATACTGGTCAGTCAACGCTTATGGATTTTCATTATACAGAAGAGAAAGTGTATTGGGTAGACTCTGAAAGGCGACTACTTCAAAGAATTCACCTGAATGGCACAAAACAAGAGGTAAGGTAATCGGTTCTCTGGAGTTCTCCAAGGTAATGGGCATAAAACCCTCTATGGAAACCACCTGGTCTTTAGGTACAATTCTGCCATTCCTGATCATTGATTAGCACTTCAGACTTATTAAATCGTTTTTGCTGTTGTAATAGTTATGGTCCTGAGTCTGGGCTGTTTTACTGGCATTCAGAGTACATTTAGTATTTTCTGTGGATCAAGTGAAGAGGAGTTAAAAATGAAGGAGAGGAAATTCAAACTAAAGCTTTGAAGACAGTAATCTTTCTATCAGTTTTAAATTAATCCCTGGCATTATGGAAGTTTGTCTTCCAGATTACTGTAACTCAAACTGGCACAAATGGTATGAGAAGAATGTGCTTGAATTCCTATTCATTTTTTCTCAAACCTTTTATTGGTTTCTATGGTTGCATAAATGCTTCTTTTAGCACTTCATCCTTTGTTCAGAAAAAGCTGTGCAGTTCATTACATCTGGCTAATTAAGAAGGGCAGACAGGCTGTTGTGGCTGACCTTTAACGCTGTGAGAGCCTTCTTTTGTTTGAGAGAGATTGCCAGTGTTCGTGTACCCATGTAGAGTCTTCACTCATGTATTTTATGCTGATTTTTAAGGACCAGAGTCCAGTAACACTGTGTTAGGAAATCTTCCATCTGTGGTGCTTCATAGTGTGCCAAATGCAACATGTTATAGCTAAAAGATTAGTCCAGTGTACTTCTTGTGGAGAAGAGTTTCCCCTTTCGCAGAGGGTCACTCAGTTCAGGAGGGGTATGTGTGAGTACAAAGACCAAATGAAAGTGATTAAAGAATAAGAAAGAGAAATATCTACAGGTCTGAGAGAAAATGAAGCAGGTAAAGGAATGAAATGGGAAGCTTCAGCCTGGCACCCTGTATTGAAATTCACGTTTAGGGTAAGCATTAGGATACTTCTTCTTGTCAGCTTTTTTTTTTTTTTTGTTTACAGAGATTATGTTACATAGACAAAGGCATTTCAGGATTTGCTATTGACTGGATAAATCAAGACATTCTCTGGGCCAATAGACAGAAAGCAACCATAGAAGCAACAGACATGAATGGGAAGAAACGCCGAGTCCTTCTAAGAGATGTTGGTCGTCCCACAAGGATTACCATTGATGCTAAGCAAAGGTAATTTTAACTAGGTTAGTAATTTCATTGAAATGGACTCAAAATATGCAGAGTACTATGATTGCAGTTTATAGGCTGCTGGGCTAGTGTGTGCACAGTATATTATCTATAGTCCAGTAGCTCCTTGAACTTTGACAAAAGAGGATAAAAGATTAATAAGCATATAAGAAATAAATAGGCAAGTGCATGAGAAAAGCCCACTGAAGTCTAAGGCAGAGTGTGTACCTCTTAGTCATCGGGGAAAATATTGCTAGCGAGGAGAGCTGAGGGAAAAAAGGCATTGCTGGTCCTTTCTTAAAGACAGCAAAGTTTCAGGGCAGCAGAAAGCAGGATTGGAGCAGCAAGGGGAATGATGCCTGCAAATGCTGTGAATCCTTTGTGCTCCAAACCTGGCACACTTAGAATATAAATTGGTATGTTTTGTGAAAAAGGCCTAAACTTGCAGTTTTGGTTCTGTTTCCCTTGCCTCTTTGTCAATTGCTCTGAATATTGATTCTGAATCTACTGTTGCTACCTTGTGTCACTAGTAATTTGACTTTCATAAAGATGCTTCTTTCGGCTTCAAGCCACTTACAGTGAGAACCATGCTCACGTAAGAGATTTGGCCTCCTCAAGAGTTATCAATATGAATTGTCGCAGTGGTCTTTTCATGCTCATTTCTCTTTACACATAAACCTCTTCCATTACCGTTGCAAAAGTAAAAGCTTGAGACGACTTTGAGATGCTTCTGTTTTGTACAGGAAAAGCAAGTTTTTGTTGCCACTTTTGATTTATAGTAAAATTGTTCAGCAATGTGTGAAACTATTTTAATATTAAAGCTTATGTATCCTTTCCTAGTACATTTATACATAAACCAATCTTCTGATACTAGTAGCATTACGAGTATTCTTCGAAGTCTTGTCATTCGGGTAGGATTTGAAGACCTGAACATCAGCCTGTATTTTTGTTTTTATTTTTTTCTGATTTGCTTTTGAATGTAGTATTCACCAATCTTGGAAATATTCACAAGTCCTCAAACCTGCTGTCAAATGCCATCAAAACACATGTTACAAATGGCATTATAGGGACGTATTTGCTGAACTTATGTGAAAGTTTGGGGAGACTCAAGTGTGTATATTCACCTAGGTGTGATTCACGGTACATAAAAGCTGTACTCATGTGCTTATGGAGAGCGCAGTAAGCCAGTAATAAACTGTAAAGAAAGTAGACTCCAAGAAGTCTAACATCATTTTTATGCCCTATGGCAATTTGCTTGTATGAAACTCTGAGAGCTCTATTTTTAATGTGAAATGAATTAAACCCCCCAGTATGTTTACGTGCACAGGCATAAACATGAACTATTAACAATGTCTTCCTTCAAATGTGTGCAACTCTTAAGTAATGAAGGTCAATGCCCTAATAATAGATTTTTTTTTTTTTTTCCTCTCAAAAGATGTGTCTGGATGTTAGCAGTGATAGGATTATTTAAGTAGTAATAATACAACTATTGCTGTAAGATTGATTTAATTTTTTAATGATGATTAGAAATGCTGAAAAATAAGGATTAAGACTAAAGAAAAATAGGGCGCAAACACAGTAAAGGCTGGCAATTACTCAGGATGGTTTCTAATCTTCATTCTTCTTCTGTCTTCGTGTTGGTTCATGTCGTATCCTGTCCCTATACTGATTTGCAAAAGTTGTGCATAGACACTATAACCACCTTTGTTTCTTAGTTTCCTTATCTGTAGAAAGTAAATCCTAGCATTTCTCCAAACTTCCAGAGTAATGGCATTTCTTAAATAACAGGTGCTATAGAAATGCAAGCAAATGTTAATAAAGTGTTTAAAAATGGCAATATAAAATTGGGCTGTCCTTCTGGAAATGTGTTATCACCTATGCATTAATACCTATGATAACTCTTGACTATGTAACAGTCAGGAAAAGCTGTGAGGCAGGGACTGATTCTTCCTACTGGTTTAGTATAGTCCCTTGCCAGTGAGATCCAGTCCATTTTTGGGGCCTTTAACAAATTATTAGCATAAACATAGTAAAACTGGCTTTATGCTACATATAAGTTCTGCAGTTTTGTGAAGACAAGGAAAATGATGATGCCTCTTGGAATTTTTGTGCGTAAAAAACCCAAGCAAAGAATCTAAACTCAAACATTAAAAAATAAAATATACATGAATGAGGGATAACTTACTATTTTGGAAGAACTGTTGTTAACCTTAGTCACAATGGTAAATATGGGATCTGATCCATGAATAACTTGACATAAGTAGCTTCAGTGCGTAACTGTTTTGAGTATTGGAGCTGTATTTTGACTATGTCTTAATTTAATAACAGCATAATCTGGTTGCTATATCCAGCAGGAAGATAGAAAGAAATGAGAACAATAATAGAAATGGTATTTTTAAGCAAAGCACTTAAGTGATGTGTTCAACTAGAGTTTCTGGATAGACTCCTCCACAGAGGCAGAAGGCAATGCAGATCTGCCTCAAAGACGTGCCTTTCCCCAAGTTTGCGGGAGTTCCCTGTAGATTTCAGAGGTTACTCCAGTTTTCTTCTCTGACTGCACGGCCGAACAAAGCAGACAGACAGACAATAGTGCTTCGTGGTTAAGCTGGGCTGATTCCTGCTTGACCTACATGAGAGAAATTTGTAGCATCTCATTGCTTCCTTAACAGAGTCATACAGTCTCTGATAGAAATGTATTTATTAAAATAAGAAAACAACTGTAACAAAACTTTAGTAGTAACATTGCTTCTGTTAAACAGACAATGCTTTGTTGTCAAAAATTATTTCCGTTCTCGATAGAGCTATGTTAAGGGGAGCTGTATATGGTGCTTTCCTGAAATAGGTGAATATGTGTTAAGGAAGTCCCTTGCTTTATTATTAGTTTTGGTTCTGAAAGCACTGTAGTAAGACTGAAAACTTCTGTATACAGGAGCAATTAAACAAAGTGTGTGTAGCAGTGATGTCATCTTGCAAATGTGGGGGTTGGTTTTGCTTCTTTTTATTTCCAAACATGCCTCTCTTGCCTGCAGGTTGTTATTTTGGTCTTCAGATGGTACAGTTTCCAGCATACACCGAATGTCCCTCAGTGGAAGTGATGTGAGAAATGTTTTAAGAACCACAGAAAAAATAAAGGCCATCTCACTAGATTTGGTTGACACAAGGCTCTACTGGATCCAGCATGACCACGAGAAAGAGATTTCCCATATTGGATCATGCAACTATGATGGCGGAGCTGTTCGTTTGCTCAAAAATTCTGTCCGGTGAGTTTTCCTGAGCTTGTCAGAAATAAAACACTCATTTCCTGGGGATGCAGTTAAGCTCACTTCCTCATTCGCCCTTTTATTTTGTGAGTTCGTAACACAATAAGGAGTATAAAGTGTAGTGCAAATGGCCTGTAACTGTAAATCTAAAACTACTGATAGGAAAATGGAAAAAAGTCACTGTTGTAAGGATAATACTGCCACTGAGTACTTTCCATCTTTCAAGCTTTTAGCAAATGATAACTACTTAATCCTTAGAAATCCTCTCTGAGTGTTTATTAGTGGCCTTTTTCTGCAGATGCAGAAGCCAAAAGCAGAGATTAAATGATTTGTCCAAGGTCACAGTGGGTGAGCTCAGGTGTCTGAGCTGTGCTCAAGAAACTGAGCTAGATCAGGTCTTTCCTATCCTCCTCTAAGCCTGCTGTCCTCCTTAGCTGCCGACTGAGGAGGTTCGTGTCTGTGCTCAGGCTCTCCAGCAAGCATCAGCAGATGTGGTGAAAACTGTCCTACACAACAGCCCTGTTCCCCTCTGCTCCCCGGTGCCAGGGCTAAGCACGGCTGAGGGGGCTGTTAGACCCATGTGCTTTTGGGTGCCTTTAATATTTGGCCTTCATGCTTTGCAGTGGTACAGATGTTCTGTGATGGGCATGTTTTCAGTGAGGTACTCGGCAAAAGGTTACCCTATATCACTGCAGTTTCTGTCGGTATGGCTGGATCGGCTTATGCGTAATAGAGATTGCCAACTGCAAAATGAGAAAAATGCATAGTTTTGCTGGCCTGCTGATTTAAATATGCAGCACACCATTTGCATACGACAAACCCACAGCTGGTTTCTCCCTACATTGCCAGCTGTCATGTTGCATGTTTCCTTACCCTTTCCACCTTTCTCCCTCAAGTTGGCTGATGTTCACTAGGGCATCAACACTTTCCCTTTAGACTTGAATGATATGGATTCTCCTTTTTCCACCTGGAATATGTACTGGAAAGTGAAGCCAAAAAATCCCTCTTTCATTATTTTTTCTGCTTTCCCTCTTATTTAAAACTGAGTCTTTCTGTGGTTCCTGCTGGCTACTATAACTGACCAGTGAATGGAAACTAAGTTCCTGCAATAGGAGAAGCAGCAAGATGGATTTTAGCAATGCCCTACTCCTAGCCCTCTATCTCCACCCTGATTTTCTGGGATGGTGAGAAGCATCAGAGCAGGCACTGAAAATTGGGAAATGGGGGAACTTATCTGGCCTACAGCCTTCAACAAAGCAAGTGTCCACTTTAGTTGCTGGGTTGACCAAAAGCAGGGCGATACCTAGGCTTTCTCTGTCAATTGAGTCAGTCCTGAGCAACAGCTCATATAACCTGTGAGAAATACGTGTTATCCATTTTGCATATATATCTTGCAGACTTGCAGGATTCTGGGTGCTGGATTATTTGGGTATGTCTCTGGCCCCTCTTCTGGTTCTCATATATATAAGACAATATAAGATATATACAAGAATACAAAGAAAGGTTATTTACAGTGAACTTGACTGAACTAGATGCTCAGAAAATGTGTGAGTGAGTAAATATATAGGGATCAGGTAAAGTGCCACTTTGTCTTATCTTCTCTTTGTTGTAGACATCAATTGCTTGGTATGTCTCTCTTTGCTGAGCACCTGTACTATTCAGAGTTGAAATCTGGTATGATATGGAGGGCCAACAAGTATACTGGAAAAGTTGTAGTCACAATTAGCCTGAAGCCATCATTTTTCCCACCAGTGGAGATACAAGTGGTACATCCATTTAAGCAGCCAGGTGCAAGAACAGATTCTCAGGATTTCGGTAAGTGAACTGTAATGATACAGTTGTATGTGTGAGAATAATAATAATGTCATACATTCTCATTTTTCACAGTAATAATTTTCTTTGGCAAAGTTCCAGGCCTTGGTGAGGTCAAGGAAAAAGTTTCCTTTAACTTCAGTGATCCACAGTTCTCCTTGGTGTGTGTAACTCCAGCTGGAGTATCAGACTGGAAGTGTGCTGAGCATGCACTGCTTATTTCATTAATCTGAATACACATGCAGATAAATGTGATTTTCTCTCTCTTTCCGCTTTATTTACACAAAGTTGTTTTTATACTTTCCTGCTAAATGCACAAAGCATACAACGTTTTGATCCTCTATGTAGATTATTGTCATCAAATGTCCCCTCCCTTCTGGAAGTTTTATTCTATCTAAACACCTCTGATTATTATGGCACTGAAGGATTTTAAGTGCATAGTATGTCCTGCAAGTGATACTGTGGATGTCTCAGCTTTGCTGTGAAATGGCTGGATTAAGAGTCAGCCTGTTTTAGACAGACTTGAAGTTGCCATAATAACTATCAATTAAAGAGACCCAAGGCTCTAATTTCATATCAACTGCAGCCTACAGTGTGAGGTGGTCATGTCGCTGCCTTTCACCGTGGATCAGAAAATGAAGGTGGTCGACTACGGATGGCTCACCCTCCTTGAGAATTCTGGCTCAGGCTGTAGGAAGTGAGGGGTGTCCAGAGGAAATAATGTCTTGTTCTCTGATCTCTGGAAAACAGACATAGAGTCTGCTTGCTTTAATGGAACAGCTTTTGTCACCAGTTTTGCTTGGATATGAACAACAGAGCAAACAGCACAGAGGCATTTGTGTGTTGAGCAACGGTTGCAGAACTCCCAAGGGAAGATGGCCGTGGGTTCCCAGAGGTATAGGCGGTATAAAGGCATGAGGAGAAAGTAGTGTTTGTTCGTATGAGCAAAAATGAAACTCTAAATATCTCTCTTGAACCATTTCTAAATATCCGCTATAAAATAGGCTTTGTCTGTCTTCATGCCAACCAACAACTTTATATGGTACTATGCTGTTTCTCCTTACTGAAGCCTGGTCTGAGTGGGAAAATCAAAACCTTCAAGGGAACTTTCCCCTTCAAATGCTTTGTTTGCAGTGCAAAGAGCTGTTGAGATGCAAAAGAGAAAGTGTTCCTGGACATCAAACTTATACTTGTAAAAACAGGGAGCCTTCATTCAGAGACAATACCTGTTCTGTGCTTCCTTCGAGGAAAACAGTCATCTGGGCAAACGGAAGCGCTTTTTTCAGCTGACACATTTGGTGCTCTCACACAGAGTAACTAGGGAAGAATACGTTTGTGGCGCAGGCTGTGGCACATCCACACATCTCAGGGCTGTTACAATGAGATTTGGAAGGTCTCATGAGGCCTCCTTGGGTGTCTGTCACCATGTCTGCATACGCATGAAGATGAAGAGGAGGAAACAATGACCAAGAAAGGTAGTTCATGACAATGGTCTCTTGAACCTCAGGGGCTATTGGTTGTGTTACTTATGTCCCCTCCACAAGAGTGTAGCATCATTTCATTGACTATGGGCACTTTGCTTTTATTCTTCTCTCAGAAGATTAACTCCACTTCTTCCACCAGAACATGCTGCTTTCCGGTGTTTCTCTTTCCATTGGAAAGAGGGTTTCGCCACCTTTATTAATAAATAAACAACCAGTGTTTTTAAATGCCTTGCAGTATATACCCCATATTTCCAACACATTTAGTAAATTTTTGTTTGACAGTAAGTGTCAGCAGTAGGCCTTTTTTTTTTTTTACCAAATAACCTTCTTGTAAAAATGTCTGGGAAGTGACGAAGTAAAAAGAAGCTTAACAAGCTGAATCCAGATGAACCTTTTGGACTTTGCATGCACGTTGCTTGGCTTATCCAATGCAAGAACTGGGATGAAAGGAGGACTAATGAGCCTGGAGTACAAATGAGATTTATAGCTGATCTTACAACAGAGAAACCTGGAGATAAAAGCATACCTAGACTAATTGGATGCTCTGTACAAGCTAAGAAAGTGTATGTTGCAATGTAGTGTCAGCTGTGAATTATCAAGGCCTTGTTTAAAGCAGATAGCAAGTGAGTTCCTTCAGATGAAAAGAGAACTGACTACAAGTGTGCTTAACTGACATGATTTGATTTTTTTACTGGAATTTGGATTATTTACTTAAATTCCTCATGTGCCCTCTTCCCTTTCTCTTTCAAACTGCTCAGGGCCAATAAGTACAGAGAAGAGCATTAATTCAGCTACGGGTTTGCTATAGCCCCACACAACTTTAGTACGGCAGTATCTGGAAGATGGCCTCTAATTTACCTCAGCTCTCTTTGACAGCTAACCCTAGATTTGATGACAGTATGTGTATTTATAAATGCCTGTTGGAATGTTCTTCACACTTTTATTAATGGCTCATAAAATACCTTAATTACCTTAAAATCTCAAAGAATGCCTCTGGAATTTTTTTAAAGTATCTTCTCTGACAGATTAATGATATTCAGCACACTCAGGATATATTTTTGGAGGAATTATGTTATGTTTCTTTTCAGTGTAAGGTACCAGCGTCAGGCTATTATCTGAGAACACTCGTTTCCATATAAGAGAGGTGATGGGAGGGGAAGAAACAAACAAACTAGAAAGTATGGTTTGCAATGGTTCTTCTTCCAGAAAAGATTACCTTAAAAATTTTGTGCTTCATAATTTAGTCACCATTCACTTTAACTTTTGAAATGGGATTTTTTTTTTTCATATTGATTTGGCAATATCAAGTTCTAATAATTATTCAGTTAAAAAGTAATGTCTTCTTGAGATTGCCCAGATGGCAAAATTTTTGCTTCTGTTGTTTCTCCTGTAATTCCTGGGTGTCTTAGGTGTCAGGTCTCATTGGACTAATAGTGGTACAAGCAAGGGACAAAAAACAAGCACCCATGATAAGCATAAGATGCAGCCTTGAACGTCATCTTGTTTCTGTTTTGTATTGTTTTGTGATTGCATGTTCTTGCAATTCTGTCATTTTAATGAGTTCTATATCTGAAGATTAGACACTCCACTAGTGTATATTCCTGATTCAGTTGCAATAGGGACAAAGATTAAGGTTCCAATTCAAAACTAATTCTGCAAAAAGAGAGGCTCAGCTAAACTGTGTAAAATTCAGGTCTCTCAAGTGATAACATGCTTACTAACACAGATAATATCCATCTTGTCACCCATTCATCATTTTTCATTTAGTCATACGACTTTTGTTACGGAAGAATTAATCAGTTTGATGCAAGTAACTGCAATGTTGATGATTTCAGCCAAGCTGAAGTGTCTGGGAAATTAATTCAGTCTTTTACAGATGTGATCTATCATTCCACCAAATGGCCAGCATTTTCTCTGTTGTGGCTAGCAGAAGACTAAATGTCAAACTTAAACATTATGCTGCTTTCCATCTCTTGGAATTTAGAGGATGAATTGGAAAAAGCACAAGAAAATTGTTCATATACAAATTTCATTGCCTGTATGAGCTCATGATTTCTTACATGTTACACAGAGAGCACAGGGCAAGACCGTGTTGTCTGTGGGTGGCTGCATACCCACATTCAGTAGCAGCAGTTGAGCTATTCTTGGCTTGGGAAAGGGGCAAGCAACTCCGGGAGAAGATTAGGAAGATTAAAAGAAAAATAATAGTTTGGGAGACAAAAATAAAGCCATGAGTGTTGCATATTTGTGAAAGCACCAGCTCTAAAAGATAGCTGAGCACAGACATGAGGCTCTGCAAATCCTTCCCATGAAAAAGGAATCTTGAATACCTGTTTGGCTTTTTCTGTGAAGCAGGAGAAGTAGGAAGGCTTCTGGGGATTTGTTGGGTACTTTTTTCTGCTTCCTTTGAAGAAGCTTTGAGCGTATCTCGTTGGACATCAGAAACATTCTGAGTTTTAAATCTGAGTTCTAGACTTATAGCGCTTGTATTTCTCATAGTCAGAAACCTGGATCCACTGCAGTACAAAGATTCTCTAGACTGTGTTAATACCTTTTGTCCAAATGAAAGGTATGGTCATTACGATCTGTCCTGCTATTTTTTTGTTAAATAATGTAAGACTTCAGCACTGCTTTGTGCTAATAACTTCCAGTCTTCGTATGCTCTCTCTTATTTTAAATCTCTCTCCTCTCGCTTTTTTCGTGTGCGCTCTCTCTCTGTTGCTCTCTTCTTTCTGAATGTTTTACACAGCCTGGTAACATACAATACTGTGCAGGACTGGTGGCATACGAAGCCTGCTACACAGTGTTTTCCCTCTCATAGTCGCTATAGCTATGCACCCAAAGCCAACCATCCCCTACTGCAGGCTCTCTCTAGATCTGCTTGTGTGGACATGGAGCTAGAAATGATCATTCGCACAGACCTACTCTTAGTTGTCCAAGTACTTTCATTTTTATAGTGACTTTTTGGCCTAATTTTACTAATAAAAAATAGTAGAAGCTATTGTCTATTAATAAATAGTTTCTCAGGTTGAGCAAGTAGCTGTTGAGAAGACATATCACTGAGCATCTTTGCTCAAAATAGTTTCTCCTTGGAGGCTGATATGCTAAGAACTCCATTACATTTACACTGTATTTGTTCTTCCAGAAAAAGTAACCTGTGATTTGAACAAAGAAAAGTGCAGAAGAAGAATCTGCCGGCCAGACTCAAGGGCTCATCGGTGTAAATGTTCTAGTGGCTTTATTTTAAGTCGAAATAAACAGTTTTGTGAAGGTAATATGTGAATCTCCCATCAGATGAAAAAAATCTTCTGTTCTTTTACTTTACTCATATCTCAAATATGAAAAAACACTCTGAGGTCTTAAAAATTCCAGTTGTGCCATTTCAGTTTTGTGTCCTTGCAGGTTTTAAATTAATGTAAAAGGAGACCTATGAAGGCTTCACAAGTGCTATTCTTCTGAGAAATTTTGGCCTTAGCCTGAGTAGTTAAAGGAGCTTCAGATAAGCAGACATGCTTATGGGTCCTTATTTAATTTTTAAATAAAAATTAAAACAGATACATCACCAAAGGTGAAACATTGAAAAATCCTGCAAGAAGATGGCTGTCTTAAGTCCCACTTTCAAAAAAGACAAACAAGCAAATTCTTAACATGCTTCTAAATGTTTTGATCTGGATAGTTTTAATTAAAATCTAACATTACTATTAATAATAGTTAACATATCACTTTTAGAAGCATCTTTTTCACTACACATCTGGATTTGAAAAGACATAAAGGCATCAAAATTCCTAGCTTATAGGATTTACAGACCTGCCTGAGTAGCAGCCATCCAGTTCTCAGGAAATTCACCAGGATTGCTTTCTGAATTTCAACGTCTAAACAACTTCTGCATTTTCAGAATTTTACTTAAGTCATGTTGGAGCCAAATTTTTTAAAAGAATTTTTGTCTGAAGAAAGTGTCTAATGTAAATTCTTTTGATGCACACAGGATTGAACTGGCACTGGAATCTGTATGGGAAGGCATACTTTTGAAAGTCCTCTAGGCACCTGTGCTGGACACGTGCAGCCTGAACAGGTTTTACTAGAAGGTTTTAAAACCTTATTTGAATAAGGTCTGCAAACTTGCCTTTTTATCATTTATTAGGACAAATTATTTTTGTAAAATGAATGGGAAAAAGAGATACTTCTTGAAGACTGTTAGTTTGCTTCATTAATCTATTCCCTGACACTGGCTGATGATGATATTCTGACACAGCAAGTGCTTCTTTTGACAGATATCAATGAATGTGGCTTCTGGAATCACGGCTGTACTTTGGGCTGTGTGAACATCCCTGGTTCCTATTACTGCACCTGCCCGAGAGGTTTTGTTCTGTTGCCTGATAGGAAAACATGTCATGGTAAGTAGCAGTAACACGTAAATGCTTCGAGTATCATATCGGAGAGAGTCCTCATTAACACTGGAACCGCTGGAAGTTTTGTGTGTTGCATTGCCCGTTTCCAATCCCTTATTACATAAATAGGATCAGCTTAAACTGAGTGAACCAAATTCAGATGTCATGTTTAAGGAAGTGTCAGTTACACGTGAGTAATCAAGTGTGAGCCTCTTCAGGAGAAAAAGAAAAAAAAAAAAAGATCAGGTCTCCAGAGGGATCTCTTTGCTCAGATTGAGCTCTGTGACACATTTCAGGTGGATAAGCAGTTGTATCTTTTTAAATGTGGTCTCAGAATTTGGCTCACTCTTGTTATCCTGCATAAGAATTTGCCCAGTTTCTGAATGAGCAGCCTACAGCATCATCTTTTTTCTCTTCAGATAAGGGTTGATAGCATTGCTAATATGCATGACATTAGTGAAACTAAATGCATGTGCATCTGTTTACAACAAATCATAAAGTTGCTTATTCTAGGGATCTGCCACATCTATGTGTTTTTTTTTTTTCTTTTATCAATTAAATTGTGTATAAGAAGTATGCCTGAGAGAACTTATACATATAACATAGGTATGTAAAGCAGGAAACTCTCTGAAGCTGGATAAATGTGAATAAACTAAATGCAGAGAACACAGAAAAGTGGAGGGAAAAAACAAAAATCTGCCTGTCAGTAAGCTTCAATGACTGTATTTTAGTCATAGTAAGAGTCAGAGGTGAAGGGTGTTTTTTTTTCTCCCTTTATGCAGCACTGTGTATATTCAGCCTACAAATTAATTAAGCCTTTCTAAAGTAAGTCTAGAACATAAGATGCGAAATGCAAATGCATCCATGTTTTGAGGTCTTGGGATATTCCCAATCACTTTTCTATTTCATAATGAAGTGAAACTTAGGCATAGACAAAAGTCCTTCTACCTTTTTTCCATGGATATAAAACATTGGTATATGCCCCAAGCAGAAGTGCAGGTGCACACCAATGAGTTCAGTCTGGATCACGGCAGAATCGGGACCTCAGGTACATTAAATATCACTACTTAAGAGTAAATGTGGCCATAGAGTCTAACAGGCTCTAGCAGTCAGTATATCTATTTTAGATCTCCAAGGGTCACTTCTCCCTCTCCATTAAGAGGGAGCCAGGAGCAGGATTCAGTGACCCAAACGTGGGGGTCCAGGGTGTGTGTGACAGCTGCAGAAGGCAGCCAGATGTGACAGAAGACCTATGGGAGACCTGCAGCCAGAGGCTGTTGGGAGCTGGGATATCCTTTTGTGTCCAGAACAACACTTAGACACTGTGCAAGTCAGTCTTACTCTGGATGACTAGCTTGAACTGTATGCCTACATTTTGAGTGGCTCAAATTAGACAGAAAATAACATTTTTCTAACACAACCTAGGGATGCAGCATTGACAGTATAACTCCTTAACTACTGTAGCACAAGGCAGATATGTCATCAACTACACAACTTGAGAGAGAGAGAAAGAGAGAGATGCAAGGTGAGAAGTCTACATGCTGACCAGACATTTTGATGCTTTGTCCTCTGAGTCCTTTTCAAAGCTCTTTAGATAAAACCACAAGCTCTGGTCAGAAAGAAACACAAGATCAGTTTCTTGACTCTCTTCACTGTGCTTAAGGGGTTAGAAAAAATCCAGTCCAGAGTGCAGTTGCCCTGGAGAAGCAATGTTTGCAACAGCTATGCACCATTTAGGCCAGTGTATCCAGCTGATTCAAAGGAGCAGCTGTGGGAAACTTGCATTAGTTCCAGTCTTCCAGCGGGTGTTGCCATATGGCACTAGAGTTGGCATAAAGAGATGCAGCACTGCAATACAGAAGGTGGAATGTGAAATTGCATTAAACAAATACTCAAATGTTGGCACTCCAACAGTTATAATGGAAATTAAAGGAAAGCTATGACCAGGTCCTCAGATGGTTTTGCCCTTACAGCTTCAAAAATTGCTGGTAAAGAATATGGCTTTATTTCTGGAAGGTTCATCTGTTTTCAATGATTCTAGCTCTGTTACTCTTGGAGTAGTGGGAAAGTAGCTTTTTCCTTATTCTCTTTGTGTTTTATACTTATTCTTTCAGTATAACTTTCTTGCAGTTTTCAAAACCTGATGTATTTTTGATGAAATGTGAAAAAGAAAGTTTTTTAAATTATTTCTATTTTGATAACATGTCTTCATACAATTTTGGAAAATCTAAAGCTGATCAGGATAATGGCTTCAGGACAGAGCAATTTTGGCTTTCTCCTTTGCTGTAATAAGGAGAGGGTGGGGGAAAAAAATTTTGGAAAAACCCAAACCAAACCCCAGAAAGACTGATGTTCTACTCTCGACATCGCACTTTTTGTTTTTTTCTTTCATCCTTCTTTTTCTATTTTTCTTTTGCCATTTAGGAAAGTGTTAACATCTCTTTTGGCGGGCTTAGTAAAAGGTGTTACCATAATTTAAGATTTTTTTTTCCTCTTTAAATTACTGTAGAGCTAATTTCCTGTACAAGTAACGACACTGAATGTAGCCATGGTTGCCTTCAAACATCTCAAGGGCCTGTTTGCTTTTGTCCTGAAGGATCTGTACTCAAAGTAGATGGCAAAGCATGCACGGGTAAGTAACATTTTTTTCTAGCTGTAGTGACTGCCAGACTCGGTTTATTAGAATCACAGAATGGTTTGGTTGGA